TGAGGTGTGTGAGGTGTGTGAGGGTGTGAGGTGTGTGAGGTGTGAGGTGTGTGAGGTGTGAGGTGTGAGTGTGTGAGGTGTGAGGTGTGTGAGGTGTGAGGTGTGAGGTGTGTGAGGTGTGTGAGGTGTGTGAGGGTGTGTGAGGTGTGTGAGGTGTGTGAGGTGTGTGAGGTGTGAGGTGTGTGAGGTGTGTGAGGTGTGTGGCACTGTTCAGCTCACTCAGCCCATTTAAGGTCGACTTGTTCTTTTAAGCATCTGACCACTTGTGCTCCTCAGGCGCTGAGCAAATGGTCCCTCCCCACAGCCTCAACCCCTACCTCACTTCCTACCCATCCCTCCTTGCCCCTGTGGCCCAGCTGCTCTCACCCACTGGGGCAATAAGGGCTGAGAGACCAGGGCCTCTTCTCAATCCTTTAACAGTCCCGTGACAGCCCAAGAACCTCAGTGCTAAGTCTCAAATGAAGCCTCGAAACAGCAAAGCTGAGAGTGAAAACCAAGTGTACCCCAAATCCCAGGCCAATCAGGCCACATTGATCATAGAATGTTTTGGAGTTGTGACCAAAATACCTGACAGGAAGCAATTAAAGGGATGAAGGTTTCTTTGGCCCACAGATGGACTGGGGTGGTAGGGCCTCACGGCTGCTTAGACACGTCGGGTAGGATCAGGACACAGAGAACACGCCCGGGCAGCTCAGAGCACACTAGGGTCACATTTGACACCTTCAGCCTTTTTACTCACTCCTGGTCCCCATGTGATGGTGCCACCTACATTCAGTGTGTGTGTGTCGGGAGCACAAAGGCGCGTCTCACTGATGCCGAGACCAGTGTTTGTCAAGTTGACAATCCAAATTGACAGTGCATGTATGCAACCACTGGAGGAGACCATGGTGGATGCGACAAGTGCCCCAAACCCAATCCCCACCCCCTTTGTCTGTCTGTCAGAAAAACAGAGGCCCTTTCCCCTCCAGTCTGCCCATCTCAGAGTTCATGTCCTTAGGAGTGCTACTCTTTTGTTTTGTTTTGTTTCAAGACAGGGTTTCTTTGTATAGCCCTGGCCTGTCTTGTTTTAACGAAAACCGAAAACCGTTTGATTTTACCAGTGAAGAGGCAGGAGCCAAATGCTGGGCTGAAAACCTGCTAGCTCAGAAAGCACCCAGCGGCAGCTCAGTGGCTCACACCTTTAATCCCTGCACTTGGGAGGCAGAGGCAGGAGGATCTCTGTGAGTTGGAGGCCAGCCTGGTCAACAAAGTCCAGGACAGCCAAGGCTACACAGAGAAAGCCTGTCTGGAAAAACAAAACAGAAAACAAGAAAGCACCCAGCTGACCTTCCTACTCAGTTCACCTGACAGTCCAGAGGAAAAAAAGCAAGGGTTAATGGGAGCTAAAGAGCTCAAGAGCTGAGAGCTAAATGCCCCTTGTTTTTCTCCACACTGGTTTGAATGCTCTCCTCTCAAAGTCCCTCCTTTCTGTTAATCCCTGACAGCTGGCTTCTTGCTCCACCTCTTGACCTAGGGCTAACTTTATTAAATCCTGTGTTCAGAAAGCTCTTGGGTTAAAGGTGTGTGCTAGGGCTGAGCCACAACTACCTGTTTACAATAAACAGAAAGCTCTTGGGTTAAAGGTGTGTGTTAGGGGTTAATCACACCAGGCAAGAGACAGGTTTTCGAAGTTCACAATCTTGGGGATCACAATGGGGTCAAATATCCTGCAACAGTCCTGGAACTTGATCTGTAGACCAGGCTGGCCTTGAACTAGGAGATCCAACTTCCTCTGCCTCCCAAGTGCTGGGATTAAATGAGCACGCCACCAAAACCTGGCTTGTTTTTTTTTTTTTTTTTTAAATGGGTTTTAAAAATCAATGTTTACATTTATTTAGTTGTTCAATGTGCCTCTGTGTGTGTTTGTATGTTCCATAACACAAAGGTGAAGGCAGACAACTTCTGGAACTTGCTTCTCTCCTCCCACCTTGTGGGCACTAGGGGCTGTACTCAGGTCATGAGCTGTGTGGCAAGTGCCCTTACTTACTGAGCCATCTTGCTAGCCCTAGGATAGTCTTAATGTGCAGTCCAAGCTGGGCCTGAGCTTGTGGCAATGCTCCTGCTTCAACCTCCTAAATGCTAGGGTTACTTCTATGTAATTCCCTAAATTTAGCAGCTAACACAAGACCTTGTTTGTCTATCTTAGAGCACTTCAGTGCCATCATTCATTTGCCCATTTCTTTAGTAATTAAAAATGTATGGAAAAATTATTAACCATGGTGTAGTTAATGTGCATGCACACATGAGACAGGTTGACCTTGACCTTCCAGCTAGGAACTATCTTCTTTTTGGAAAAGTATGGCCACCCGTGTCTGTAATCCCAGACTGAGAGTCTGGGGCCTGACTATGTGGGCCGGAAATAGTGGTGTGCCATGTAATCCCAGCATTCAGGAGGAGGAGGCAGTAGGCTCACTCACCACAAATTCAAGGCCAGCCTCGTCAACATTCCGAGTTCCAGGCCAGTAAAGGCTACATACAGGTTTCAAAAAAGCAAACTACCAAATAAAACCAGAAGCAAGGGGGAGGGGTGTGGCAGTGGCGGCACAGGCCTTAAATCCTAGAACTTGGGAGGCCAGGCCGGGCTAAATAGTGCAACCCGATCCTAAAAAAATAAGAGCGCACTGGTTGACCAGATAACCGCGAGGCCCAAATAGCGGAGGAAGTGACTCCTACAGGTTGTGGTTTGACCTCATACACAGGGTCCCACCCCCACCCCCACCCCCGCCGCCCTGCATCCGCTTCCAAAAAAAAAAAAACAGCGACAAATGTACCAACAAAAAAATTTAAACCTCAAAAATCATACCCGCACGGCTCTGCTTTGTGTGGTGCCGCAGGCCTATAACCCCAGCGGGGCATTCAGAAAGTAGAAGCAGCGGGATCGGGAATTCAAGGCCATCCTTTCTTACACTGCAAGTTCAAGACCAGCCTGAGCTACATGAGCATGTCAAAAGCAAAACAAACAACATACACAAGAAAGAGAGCACGTCCGCTGAAGTCTCGGTCTGTAATAACTAGGTTCAAAAGACGTTTCTTCTTCTTTTTTTAATTATTTATTTTATTTTATATACATTGGTGTTTGTATGTATGTCTGTGTAAGGAGTTATAGACAGTTGTGAGCTGCCATGTGGGTGCTGGGAATTGTCCTCTGCAAGAGCAGTCAGTGCCCTTAACCTCTGAGCCATCTCTCCAGCCCCTAAGACGTTTCTTCTACGAAGGAAGGAAGGAAAGACAGGCTGGCAGTGTGAGGCCTCCGCCGCTCGGCCTCCTGGGAGTCGTAGTTCGCGACTCCGCCCTCTATGGCGCAGGCCTGCGCAGCTTGAGGCGGGTTCCTGTTAATGCGCATGCGCGGGAGGCGGGGCCCTGCGCGAGACTGCGGGGGGCGGGACGTCACAGGCGCTCGGCCGGCAGAATGGCGGGCCGGGGTAAACTGATCGCGGTGATCGGGGACGAGGACACGGTGACGGGCTTCCTGCTGGGCGGCATAGGCGAGCTTAACAAGAACCGCCACCCCAACTTCCTGGTGGTGGAGAAGGATACCACCATCAATGAGATCGAAGACACCTTCAGGTACGGCAGCCTGGAGGCCTGACTGGGCCCTTGCGCCTGAGACGGGAGAGCTGGGGCCTGTTAGCCTGGCGGTGCCGGGGTCGGGGCGGCCTCGGGGAGCGGAGCTTGCGGCCTGCCCCCCGGACGCCGGAGCCCGGCAGGCTCAGCCTCTTCCGGGGTCCCTGCCGCTCCTGGCCTTTTCCAGTCGCGCCCTCAACAAAGCACCCCCCGCGTCGGGCTGGACAGTGGGCGTGCGTGCGTGCGTGCGTGCGTGCGTGTCCTGGTAGCCCGCTTTTGCCTCGTAAAGCTAGTACCTACTCTGTTTATGCAGCCCCCCGGCAGCCTGCCTGGGCTTTCCGTTTGTCTTGGGGAGAACATCTGGGAAGTATGGACTTCCGCAAAGACCTTGTGCTTCAAAGCCCTCACTTCGTGCCCCGGGTCAAAGGTCATAGCTTCAAAAAGTGGGCACAGGCATTCCTGTTAAGCCAAGCAGTGTCCTGTTGACTAGAGTTGAGGGTGCCAACTAGGCCCCTCATTTCCTAGGGCTGTGCTGCCAAGTCTGAAGAATAAACTGCCTTCACCTGTTTTCCCTAAATAGCCCGGTCCAGGGCTGCTGGCTGAGGCCAGTTCCCGCCGCCTGGGATGTGGCAGGCCCTGACCTGAGAGGCTGCTGTCAGCTGATCTCCGAGCCATACGCCAGAGTGACCGCTGTTGTCACTGGGGGACACATCTTACTTCCAAGGATTTTCCATGTTTCCAACGGTCAAACAATCAAAACAGTCAAACAGTTCCATGTCCTGGGCAGGAAGTAGGTGGCCAGTAAATGACCTTTAATGAGTAATGGCTGAGTGAGCATGCCTGTCTGTGCGTGAGGGTGATCACGTGAGAGGAAGGCTGTCACAGCAGCCTCTGTCTGGAAACTGCTTCCTTCGTTGCCGAGTTTCCGCTTTCCACCTTGATTTGGCTTACGGCAGATGTCGCCGCGTCCTGTCTCCTCGCCCGTCTTGAAAACTTTGTAAGATCCAACAGGTAGACTTTAAGGAGCTGCTCTTCCACCTCAGCATGAATCTTGTCTTTCTCCACCTAGATCAATAATACGATTTTGCTTTTCAAGACAGGGTTTCTCTGTGTAGCCCTGGCTGTCCTAGAACTCTCGCTGTAGACCAGGCTGGCCTCCAATCACAGGCATCTGCCTGCCTCTGCCTCCTTGGGACTAAGGGTGCAGGACACCACTGCTGGCCTTTTTTTTTTTTTTTTTTTGGTTAATAAGTGTCTTATGTTTGTAAAATCTTTTTATTCGAATGCAAAGGGAAAGGCCTCAAACCTATTTCCCTCCCCTGTCTTGTAGAGGCAGCATACAGAACCCACTGACATGCCCCTGTCCTTCCTTGCCATGAGTGATGTGTGGCCCCTAGCCCTGAGCAGTGTGGCTCTGGGCTCCTGAATGCAATTGCTTCACTCAGGGACAGATGAGGGTTCAGCCCCTAAGCCTCCGGGCCCGTCATTCTCCTTTCTCCCCCCGACAGGCAGTTTCTCAACAGGGACGACATTGGCATCATTCTCATCAACCAGTACATCGCAGAGATGGTTCGCCATGCGCTCGACGCCCACCAGCGCTCCATCCCAGCTGTCCTGGAGATCCCGTCCAAGGAACATCCCTATGACGCAGCCAAGGACTCCATCCTGCGCAGGGCCAAGGGCATGTTCACTGCGGAAGACCTGCGCTAGGGCGCGGCAGCCCTCGGCCCTCTCTCACCACTAGGCCCCTCCCAGTTTGCACCCGCTATTTAAGTTTCAAGCCTCGGCATCCAGCCCCTCCCTTCCTCTCCACTGAGTGGCTCCTAAGCTGTTGGGGTTCTGGGTTCAGGTCCAGGCAGGGTAGGGAAAGAAAGCCCAACCTCTTCTCCCTCCACTGCCTCCCCCTGTGCTGTTCCGCAGGGTCGTTGTTGATATTAAAGGGGTATTCTCATCAGATGGGTGCTGGAGTGGATTCATGAAGGGTGCAGTGTTGGGGGACCCTACCAAAGAGCCAGGTGAAGACTGAGCCAGGGAGTCTGATTCAGGGACTGGTCACCTGGCTTCAGGGGTGAGGGACAGAAGCGATTGCACAGGGCTGCCTTTCTAGAGCAGCCTGGTGGAGCAGCATGGCTAACGTGTGGGCCACGGCCCCTTCCCAGGGATCTAAGCCCCGCCAGAGAGAGACACTTATGTTGTGATTGTAACTGTGGGAAGATGACAGTGATTTTCTGGCCGTGGTCACCGCTCCGTGAGGAACTGCATTAAAGGGCGCAGCACGGGGAAGGGTGAGAACCACCGATCCAGCTAGAGTTGGGGACTGCAGGGCCGAGGGCCTGGTGTCAGTGAGCCCTGCCCCCGGGCTGCCTCAGAAAGGGCGCTGTGGGACCTCTGCCGAGGCAGCGGCAGGTAGAACCCTGGCCCTGTGTGAGGTGAGGCTCTGTTGCCAGGTGACTGTGGGGCAGCCACCCAGCCGGGGAGCGCTCAGCAGCCGCCTTCTGCCGTGCTATGTCAAGGCAGCTCAACATGGATACCATGCGGCAGAACTTCTGGAAGGAGGAGTACCTCAAACAGATGAAATTGCGCTGCGATTGGCACCGCAAGTATGGGAATCTGGTGAAGGCCAAGCAGAAGGCTAAGAGTGCGGCTCGCCTGCCCCTCAAACTGCCCACCCTGCTGCCCAAGACCACAGTGCCACCAGCTGTCTCCAAAGCAGCCCCTTCCAAGGCCCCCAGCCCCGTCCCAGAGGCTTTCCAGTCAGAAATGTACCCCGTCCCGCCCGACATCAAAGCCCTGCTGTACGAGGGCATCTCGCATGACCTGCAGGGCCGCTACCACTACCTCAAAGCCCGACAGCTGGACCTGCCCGAGAAGCGCTACCTGTTCCCCGTCACCACCAGCTTCTCATATGGCTGGCAGCTGGGTGAGCAGTGCCTCCGTGAACGAGCTGCCGCACACACAGACCTGCCTTATGCTGGAGAGCAGAGAGTCTAGGGGAAGGCCAGACTTCGGCCAAGGAAGCAGATCTGAGGCCAGCCCGGTGACCGAGGGCACGGTGCTGGGCAGGGGGCAGGCGCATACTTCAGCTGGACTGTTAGCAAGGGCCTTTCTCGAGGCCTGTAAGGCTGATGTGGGAAGGGGGTTGGATTCTCTCCTAAGGGAAAGCTAATGAGGTTCAAGCAGCCGGGTGATACTGGCTTTAGGAAACGAGCTTCTAGTGGGTGAGTTGAAGTTAGACGCTTGCATTATCTTGGCAAGATGTGATTAGAATTAGAACAGAAATCAAGGATGATTTGGACAAGACAATAAGTTCAATGGAGCCTATTGCTGGCTCAAATCCGCCAGAAAGGGCAATCAGTGGCGAGCCACAGATTTTGTTGTAGTTGCTGGTAAGGACATGACTGTGACGGTGATGTGTGATGACAGGTCTGTGGTGGCCTTAGTAGGTTGGTGATGTCACAGAGGCAGCTGTGTGTGGAAGTGTGGCCTTCAGGAGTAGGGCAGCGGGTGTCATCAGAGCGAAGCAAAGGATGGGCTTACATGAAGGGAGTGGGCAGACGGACCAGAGGGCAGGGATGGCATTGGCACGAGGCAAGCCCCCGACTGTTTCTACTGTGAGGCCGAAGGTAGGTCATCAGCCAGGAGAGGGACAGCAGGGGAACCCAGTGGCTTTTCAGGACTATGGTGAAACCGGCAAGGCTGTATCAGGGGGCTGGTGAGGGGCCCTGAGCGTCAGGAGCTTCTAGGGAGTGGGTCCCACCGCCTGAGGGCGTGAAGAAAAGTGGGCTCCCTCATCTTCCCTCGAGGGGAAAGGAGAGGGGAGCAGCTCCCCTGTGTCTGTCCCTGTGACAAACATGGCCAGAGGCACCCCTGACCCGGCGGCCCTGGGGAGAGAGTGCTCTGTCCACTCCGTGCGGAAATTCTGAGTCCAGCACCCAGGCCCCGATGTGTTTTCCTCAGGAGCCCTGTTTATTTATTTATACATAGTAGATGCGACATGGGCGGAGCTCAGGCCCTTCCTCCTGTCCGTTCCTAGTATCTGGCCTCTTTTCCCAGGCCCTGCAACAAAGCAACAGCTGGTCTCCTGCAAGATGTGCCGCATTGAGTCGTTCTTCCGCAAGAACGGGGCCTTTGCACTACTTGACCCCCGAGATCTGGCCCTCTGACCTGGGGCCTGGCAGGAATTTAGATGCGGAAAAAGCAATAACAGGATTCTTGGTGGAGCCTCATTGCTGGGTGTGTCTGTGTGTACATGCGCGAGCATGGGTTTCTGTTCTCCCTGCTCTCAATGCTTCCCTCTGGGTCTTTCTGAAACTACCTCACGCCTGGGTCACCCTTAAGCCTTAACCATCAGCGCCACATCTCCATGGCGACGCAGCAAAGGAACGGGCAGGCGCTATTCTCCGGGAGCAGGCTTCTCAGCGCCAGGGGACAGCAGATCCTGAAAGCTCTGGGTGTTCCTGGGAAGACCATGGCTTGTCAGTCGGGTGCCGGGGGTGTGTTGGGGGACGACCCCCTGCCCTTCCCTGCAGGCCCCTCACCTGGCCCCGAGTGCCCGCAGCTGCTGAGTCCTGCCACGGTGCACTTGCTCCAGACGCTCTCGCACAGCTCGTCGCCGTCCCGCGGCGTCCTCCTGGGCGGCACGAGCTCTGAGCGGCCGGGTGCGGCCTGCAGGGTGCTGCCCGGCGCCCGCCCCTCCCCGGTTGGCTGCTGCCGTCCCCTCGGGGCAGGACCCCGGGCTCTTGCCTGTGGCGCTGTCAGAGCCGCACTGGAAGGGAGCCCCAGCGGGTGAACTCGGCGGTGGTGGTTCGCGACCACGCAGAGTCGTCCCAGGACCTGGGGAGGCAGCAGTTAGCCAGGCCCCGCCCACCGCCGCCCCGCCCCTCTGCTCCGCCCAGTGCCCTCATAGCCCCGCCCACCGCCCTCCCCAGCCTCCGCCCACCGCCCCGCCCTCCCGCCCGCGCAGGCCGGGCTCTGGGGCGCACCCGCAGCCGCTGCCGCTCCCGCTCCCGCCGCCGCCGCCTCCTGGCTGCGCAGTACACATCCAGCAGCCGCTGCAGAGCCTCCTGCTGGGCGCCGGCCGGCGTCGCCTCCCTGCTCTCGGGTGCCGGCCACGCGGCCTTAGAGAACCTGGGGTCCCCGGGGCCGCGCTGCTCTCCGTTCTCCGGCGCCCCAGGGGCCAGCGTCCCGCCTTCCGGGCCTCGGGGCCTGGGCGGCCCGGGGAGCTCGGCGGGGACGGCAGCCCGCTCCCCTTCCCGGGCCGCCACTGTCCGGGGGGCGCCCGGTGGCCCGTCTTCCCCACGCTGGGCGGTCGGCTCTCCGGGGGCCCTGCAGGGGTCCCCGGGGTGGCCCTCTTCCTGGCGCCACGCTGCTGCTCCTCCCCGAACTGCCCCGCGGACTTCGGAATTACTGCCTTTCCCAACCCGAGGGGCCTCTAATTCCTGGCCCTGCCGGGCCTGCCGGGCCTGCCGCCTTCCCCCGGGCGGGCTCTGAAGGTTCGGCTCTGCTCCGCTCCCCTCGTCCTCCCCGCCGCGGTCCTGGGGAGGGAGCGCCGCGACTGCTCTTCCCCGCGGCCCCGCCCCACCCCGGCAGCCTTCCCCCAGGCAGACCCTCCCCGCCCCAGCCCCCAGGGGACCCTCTAACCCTTCACCTTCAGGTCGAAGTCTCCCGGCTCCTCGAAAGCACGGCCGCCGGCGGGGTGTTCGCAACCTGAGGGGGAGGACCGGGCGCTGCCGTCTGCTGCCTCTCACGCGTCCCAGAACTAGGACGGGCGTGCTTGAAGCTGGGCAGCGAGCGGGGCGCGCCTGGGATCCAGCCCTCGGGAGGCAGAGGCGGGAGCATCACTGTGAGTTTGAGGCCAGCCTGGTCTACACAGCGAGTCCCAGGACAGCCTGGGCTATGAAATCCTGCCTCAAAACAAAGAAGAGGCCGCCTGGGGTGGCCCGGAGAGGACTCCGGAGGCTGGTGCCTGAGCTCATGCGCCTTCATTCCTGCCCACACTGCGGGCCCTGAGTCACCTGTCTGCAAACAGCCCAGTCTCCTCTCTGCACCCCAAGGAGACCTCTCTGAGGAGCCGCACACTTCTCCCAGGAACATGAGGAGGGCCCGTTTGTTTGCTCAAGTCCTCGCATAAGGACCTCGACCAACTCTGCCCGGGTGGGGCGGTCCGGCCCACGGGAGAGGCCGCCGTAGGTGCCATACTTTCCCAGGTGGGAACAAGAAACCCTCCTTAGGGTGCTGTTTCTGAAAACAAGATCAAAAGAGGTCCGCGATGAAATGTTCGCCAGTCTGGCTTGAGGACTGCCAGGCCTTCCTGATTAGCACAATTCTAAAGGCGGGAAGCGCTGGGGCCGCCCCTGCAGCTGTGGAAACAGCCGCTGTGCACCCACACGCCTGGCTCAAGGGTCCCTGTGTCATAGCTCCTGAGGCGAGGAAAACAGACTGAATATTCACAACGCTAACCACAGGCAGGTTTTTTCTTTGTGTGTGTGTGTGTGTGTGTAAAGACATGCCGCTTTCAAAGGGCTTTATGAAGAAAGGGATTTCATAAATTCTCAGGGTTAGAAATCATCGTCAACAAGTGGGAAAACAACCTAGCCTCTTCCTGCCGAGCTGTGCTCTCATTGCTGTCCGTCCTGTGTCTGTCTGCGCCCACCCCCAGGTAATATACTCTGCATCTCTGTCTTCCCCAGAGAGAGCACACTGTGTAAACCCTGACAGTCAAGCAGGACAGTTGGCAGGAGAGAGCTTTGACAGGTGTGTCCTTAACACACTTGAGACTCAGTTCCCTTTGCACCAGGCTGGAGGAGCGGAGGCCGGTCCATCCCACCAGGTCCTGTCTGCCGGCTTGCTCTCTCCAAAAGGCTGTGGTCTCCAGGACTAGAAAGTCCTCCTGGGCCTCTTTATAGGCCCCGCGCCTGGCATAGGTGGCCTCGGATTGCGATTCTGTCCCTCCTCCCCTGAGCATCAACTACTGGTTCTTCCTGCTGCTCCTGAGCCCCAGTTCAACTCGGAACCCCACCAGACACAGTGCCCGAGACAGCTGGCGCCAACAGGAAGTTGGCAGTAAGCCTGCTTCCGCTGAGCAGTCACGCACCAGCAACCCTAGGCTCCTGAGGCTGAGGCAGGGGGACCGAATTCAGGACCAGGCTGGGCTATACTTGCGGCAAGTTCTGGGTTAAGATGGCCTATACAGCAAGACCCTGTCTCAGAAAAATTAAAAAAAAAAAAAACACAAAAAATTAAAAGCTTGTTCTCCATCCCCCGCTGCCCCGACACCCGATGAAAGGGTGTGAGGTGGAGGGTGGCTGGGACGAGGCTGTCCCTGCCTCCGGGTCTAGCCTGCTCACCAGCTCCAGGCCCGGCTGCTCCGGTGGCTGCTGGACCCGCTCCTGCTGGGGTCCCGGGCACAGCCTGTGTAGGTCTGACCAGGCCCTCCAGCCTCGGGGCCGGGGCCGCGTGGCTCCTGGCTTCATCCAGAGCGGGGGTGGCCGGCCTCCTGCGGAGTTGGGCGGCTGCAGCGAGGAGACGGCCTGACTGCCAGCCCCCGCTCCCCTCACCCTGGCCTCGGGGGTCCCTGGGCCGCGCGCAGGGCACGAGGAGGACGGTGCTGGGGGGGGGGGGCGCTCTGCCGCTGTGAGGCGGCCTGAGAAGGTGGGGACCGCGGAGCAGGGCTCACCCCGTTAGGCGCCGGCGGCTCTCACTCGGGGCCTCCCCAGCCTGGCGTGGAGGGCGCAGCGCGGAAGTCTGCAGGATCGAAGGGACCCCCGGCGAGAAGGAGGCTCCCAGCAGGCCCTCGGGGTCCCGCCACCGGCACCCGGGCCTCTGTGACACCTCTGCCCCAAGGCACACCTTGGCTGTGAAGGCTGCCTCAGCCCTGCTTCGGCCGGCCACCTCCCCCAGGACAGCCCCGCGAGGGGGCCCACGGCAAAGGCTGCTCTGCCTCTCCGGCTGGGGCCCTGCCACCCCGCCGGCTGGCTCGCGGCCCTCGGGGCAGCACGGGCCCACAGGGGCTTCACCAGCCAGCCGTCAGCAGGGCCCATCCTCGACTAGGGACGTGGTGGCTGCGGCGGGGACCCTGCTGCTCCGATGGGCCCAGGGCTGCTCCCGGGGGCCTTTGAGGGGAGCTCTGGAAGGATCTAGCATCGCCCGCCTTTCTAGCCTGGCGTCCAGAAGCTCGGGGTCCTCAGGGGCGCATGCGCCTCCCACTCCTCCTCGCCCCCTGACGACCTCCGTGTCACGTGGCGCCCCGGCTCGCCCCACTCACCAGCGGCTCGCGGTCCAGATTCCCCGCCCCGCGCTGGCTCCACGCAGGCCGAGCCTGGTCCCTCTGGCCACAGACGCTGGCGCAGGGGGGCCAGAAGAGGCCCAGCCCCGCCCCAGCCAGCAGCTCCAAGTCCCAGACGAGCTGCAGGGGGACGAGAAACTAGGGCATGGGGCGGCCCCGCTGCCCCCGGGGCCTGCTCCCCTGCGCCAGCCCCTACCTTTTCCTGGGCCCGCCGGCTCCGCTCCATCTGCAGCAGCGTCCTGGGTAGCTCCAGGCCTGGGGGGCAGTCGCGGCCCTCACGAACCTGGGGCAGGGAGCAGGAGCGGAGTCAGGCCCTGCCCGCCCCCTTGGAAGCAGCGCTTGGCCTTCCTCACCTGCTGCGACGCAGCTTGGAGCTGGCCTAGATCTGCAGGGCGCTGGAAGAGGAGACGGTACAGGGTCAAGGCTTGCTCGGGGCTGCAGGCGAGTCTCGGGGGCCGAGGGGTGGTTGCCTGCGCCATGGGGACGGGAACAGGACAGACTCCCTCTCCTCTCAGTATCTGCATCTGCTGCGGGGCCTCAGGAGAGAGAGCAGGGAACAAAGCTCTGATCTCAATAATTCAGGTCCTGACACCTGAGCAGGCCCGGCTGGGCAGCGGCCTCCCCACACGGGACCGCTCTGGGTCGGGTTTCCTGAATTAGAGGAGGAGGGCACAGCCTGACTCAGGAGGCCTCGGACAGGTGCCCGTCTGCACCCGAGGAATATTCTCTTAGGCGCATTGTCCGATTTTGAGTTACGTTGCTGTCATAAAATGGCCTGACAAAAGCAGAGATGCCTGGTGGCTAAGGGCTCGTGCTGTCACTGCAGAGGGCACAGTCGGGTCTCCCGCGCCCACGTGGCAGCTCACAACCATCTGCAAAGCCGCTTCCAAAGGATCTGCCCCCTCTTCTGACCTCTGCAGGCCCCAGGCGCGCTCGCGCCCAGGGCCCAAACCAGGCAGCAGTGCCATCCGCCTTCAGGCTGTTCCCACAGTAACTGAAGAGATCAAGACAGCACCGCACACACGTGCCACAGGGCAGCCGGGCCACCACCCCTCACACACGCCCACAGGGCAGCCGGGCCACCACCCCTCACACACGCCCACAGGGCAGCCGGGCCACCACCCCTCACACCCTCACACACGCCCACAGGGCAGCCGGGCCCACCAGCATGCTTAGAACTCTCCGGCTGTGTAGATGCCACCATGCAAGTGTGCTCTGTATGGTCCTGGCGACAGCAGCAGCTCCGGGCCCCAGCACCCACACGTCCGCGCTCGTGATTCTCGCCACAGCTCGTGCTGCGTGCACCTGCATGTCCCGCTGCCAGGGTCTTCTAAGGAATGAGGTGTTGCAGGAAATCCTTAGGTGCCCGGCGGAGGCGGGGCACACCTTTAATCCCAGCACTCAGGAGGCAGGAGGATCTCTCTGGAGTTTGCAGCCAGCCTGCTCTGCAGAGTGAGGGCAGAGGCAGGCCGTGTCTGTGAGTTCAAGGCCAGCCAGGGCTACACAGAGAAACCCTGTCTCAAAAACAGAATGAATGAACAAACAAATGAAGGAAAGAAAGAAAGGAGAGAGAACCCTTGGCTCACTGGAAATTAAGGTGGACTGTGGGATCCCCTGCCCCGTCCTGTTTCCTGGCTCATGATGTAAGAAGATTGCTCTCATGAATAATCCCTATGGTTGGCATCTGCTGCGCTCACCAAAGGCCCAAAACAACAGGGTAAGCCGATCTTGGAAGGAGCCTCCAGAACTGTGGGTCAAAATAAAGCCTTTTGCTTACACTTTAACGGCATCGGGTCTTGTCACAGGACAGAAGGCGGAGAGCGAGAGCCTGGCCTCCTACAGCCTGTGCTGCCTTAAGCAGCTTGCTTGTAGCCTCGTCGCCCTGCAGGAGACTGGAGCAAACTTCACCCATGAAAAAGGCCTCTGGTGGGTGGCCTCGGCTTAGCACTTGGCTGCCTCTCGCCTGGGGCGCCGAGCCCTCATGAACCTGACATAGGGCCATTAGTGGCAACAGCGGCTCCTGAGCTGTGAACCAAGATTTCTAAACTTTTTTTTTTTTTGAGACAGGGTTTCTGTGTGCAGCCCTGGCTGTCCTGGGCTCACCCTGTAGACCAGGCTGGCTTGAACTCACAGATCCGCCCGCCTCTGCCTCCCCAGTGCTGGGAGAACAGGCGTGCGCCCGCAACACCAGGAGATTTAAAATTCCCGTGGTCACACAGCTCACAAGGCAGAGAACTCAGAGCCTGGACTTTGCTATTGGCAAACCATGTTCCCCGCCCCGCAGCGCCGTCCTGGTGGGCTGCTTTTACTGTCTCCACGAGCACCTGCTGCCGCCGGGGGCTGCGGACACGCACAGCTGCGCACGCACACGGGGTTTCTAAGGCCCTGGGGGGGGGGGCAAATGCACACGCAGCTGGGCTTCTCCTGTCTCCCTAGAGTCCTGTGTCAGCAGTTCGCAGAGTGGCCAAGAGGAGACGAGCTTTTGGGCCAGAGGGAAGCAGCAGGAAGTCAGTCGGTGCATCTCTCTGGCGCTTCAGCGCTGCAGGTCTCCCACGGATCCACTCAGAGACCGGGGCGGGGTCTCGGGCCCCGCCCACCCGGCCCCGCCCCCGGCAAGAAGCACACGCTGGCCGTGGCGGGCAAAGTGGCGTTTATTCCCGCGCGGCGGGGAGGCCGGCCCCGCTCCCCGGGCCCCGGGCGTGGCTCCTGGGGCGGCGGCTAGTCTCCGGCCAGCAGGACGGGCGGGCAGGCCTCCGGCGGGACGCAGTGGCCCTCGTGCTCCAGCAGGCCCGCGGGGCACTGGCAGCCGGGCACGCAGGGCCTCGCGCACTGGGCCGCCAGCTCCCCCGGGGCCAGGTGCCGGTTGAAGCAGGTTAGGGGACAGGGCGGTCCACACTCGGCGAACACGAAGCCGCGGTCCGCGGGGCAGCCCGGCACTGCGGGCAGAGCGAGGGGCGGCTCAGCGGTCCCCTCGCCCCGCCCCCGCCCTCCACCCTCGCCCCCGCCCCTCACCGCAGGGCGCCGGGGTCCTCCCCTCGGGGGCGGCGCCCGCCTGGCGGCACAGGCCGGCGTAGGCGCCCAGGGCGGCGCCCAGGCAGGCGCCGGCCGCGGGCCCCGGGCCGCAGGCGGCGAAGAAGGGCTCCGGCGGCAGCACGGCGTGGCAGCGACGGAACGGCGGGCCCTTGAGCGCCCCGCAGCGCGCGTTGGCCTCGCGCCGGGCGCGGTAGCCGGCGGCCCGGCACGGGTCCACCTCCCGGCCCGCCGGGCAAGGCCGCCCGGGCCCCGGGCCCTCGGGGACCTACACGGAGAGCGGCCGAGCTGGGAGCGGGCCCTGCCCCTGCCGCAGACTCAGCACAGCCCGAACCTCGCCGGTCCGAGAGGGCAGAAGGGCGGCCTGTGCGCGTCTGCGACGCCGCCTAAACGAAGCGCGTTACTATGGAGAGTTAGTACTTGCGAATGAGAGCGTCTCGGTTTGGTTTTTCCGGACAGGGTTTCTCTGTGAAGCCCTGGCTGGCCTGCATTTGTAGCCCAGGCTGGCCTCGAACCCACAGACATGCCTCTGCCTCCCGGAGCGCTGGGGTCACGGTGTGCGCCACCGCGCCCGCCCGGCGGAAAGCTCCAAGAACCTCGTATAGTGGGCCACACACCCTGTGACCCCGCCTAGGGGGCCGGCAGGAGGCTCCTGGGACAGGCAGTACGGTCCAGGCCAACCTGGGCAGTGCGGCGAGACTTGTGTCAAAAAGGAAAAGGCCAGGAACGGAGGCCGCAGGCCTGCAATCTGGTTCTCAAGAACCGGTAAAGCCGGGCGCGGTGGCGCACGCCTGCAATCCCAGCGCACGGGAGGCAGAGGCAGGCGCATCTCTGTGGGTTCGAGGCCAGCCTGCTCTCCAGAGCCAGCCCTGGGCTGCACGAGACCCTGTCTCCAAAAACAAAAGTTGGGAGAAGACTGTCCCAGGTCGGGGCCCAGCACGAGCCTCAAGAACCGAGATGGCGCAACCCCGTGACGAAGGCCCACCCCGCCCCCTTACAGAGAGAGCCTAAGGCTAGAGTTGGTGAAGGGCTCGCTCCAGGCGCCGCAGCCGCGAGGGACGCAGCGGGGCTCAGGGCTTCCCAGCGCCGGCCTCGCTGCCGCCCCGCAGCTCCCGCGCAGGCCGCCGGCACAGCCCGGGGCCCGCGCCCAGCTGCCCCGCCTTCCCGCGCCACGCACCTTCCAGCTGTTCCCGAAGGCGGCCTCCGAGCGCCGGGGCCTCCCGTCGGGGCCCTGCAGGTCGTCCTGGGCCAGGCCGTTGAAGTTCCCACACAGCCCGCAGGCGCGGCCGCGGTAGGAGCCGGGGACCCGCACCTCCACCTGGGCCTGCCCGTCCCACAGCACCTGCGAGGGAGGCGGGGCTCGGGCCCACCGGCTCCCGCCTTCGACACCCGCGTGCCGAGCCCAGGCGGGGCCGGTGCTCGGGCCTCTGCGCCGGGCTCCCCCCGCCCCGCCGCCCCCTCCAGCCCGGGGCCGCACCTGGAGGCCAGGCTGGGCGTGCAGGGTCACCGTGCGGCCTCGGCGCTCGACGTAGAGCAGCGGCTCCCGGAGGAAGGGCAGGGCCACGGCGAGCCCGTCCACCTGCGGCGGAGAGGCAGACGGGGGCCGTGCCGGGCCCGGCGGGGCTGGCGCTCCCCCGACCCCGGCCCCCAGCCTCACCGTGACCGCCGGGCCCGGCAGCAGCCGCACGGCCAGGCTGCCCAGCAGCACCGCCACCTCCTGGGTCCGGGCCACGCCGCTGCGGCCGCGGGCGTCGTTGGTCACGTGCACACTGTCGGGGGTGGGAGCGGGGTCAGGGAGGCCGGGGCGGGCGGCGGCCGGGAGGGGGACGGGCGCGCACCTGAAGTCCTGGCCCCCGCAGTCCCGCGCCAGCACGTAGCTGCAGCCGCCCCGGAAGTGCAGCAGGCGGCCGTCGAAGGTGCGGTAGTGGGAGCCTCCGAAGGCCAGGCAGGAGGCCGGCCGGGGCACGCAGCGGGGGCAGCAGCGGCCGGGGCTCAGCGCGGGGGCCTCGTCCTGGCCGGGGCACACGCGTCAGACACGGGCCCTGCGCGGGCCGGGCCTCCCGCCGCACCGGGGCCTCGAACCCGGCTCCACGGGGGGAGGGGCAGGCCCCGCGCGCCCGGGCCACCGCACTCACCGGGCCGCACGCGAGCTCCCCGCAGCGCCGGCTCTCGCAGCGCACCGCCCCCGCCGCGCAGGAGCAGCGGGTGCAGGCGTCCACGGCCCAGCGCTCCCCGGAGGCCACGCGGCGGCGCTGGTGCGCGCACCACTGCTCGGAGCCTGAGCGGAAACGAGGCGCGGCTCAGCGCCGGGGCGGCGGGGCCGCCGCAGGCCACGACCCCGGAGGCCCTGCCTGCGCCCGCCCTGTGAGCGGGGACAGGCCTGACACCGGCAGCACACACGGGCCCCGTGAGTGGCAGCGCGTCCCCGTTCCGGACAGGGAGCTGAGGCCGGGGCGCGCTCGTGGGAGGGGGCGGGCTCGCGTGTGACCCTCCCTCCGCCTTCGCGCGCCTCACTCTGGCACGGCCCTCGGCGTGTGCCAGCTTTAGGCAGCGTTAGCCGGCCATGCGGACACGCACGGCCCGCTAAAGACAGGCACCACTGGTCAGGGGTTCCTGCAGAAGCCAGACGGCGCCAGAGTAAGGGAACCCGCCCGCGGGCTCAGGCGGAGCCGCGCCATGGAGGCGTGGCCCGGAGCAGCGGGTGTAACCCAGCGGCAGGGGGCGTGGCCTTGATGGAGGCGGGTGCCTGGGGTGGGCGTTGGCGTTTCAGAAGCTCAAGGCAGGCCCCGCGTGGCTCTCTTCCCGCTGCAGCGCCCCGTCTGCTGCAGGCCGCCATGCTTCCACCGGGACCATAAGGGATAGACCTCTGAGCTGTCAGCAGACCCCAATGAAGAGGTGCCGCAGTCCTGGTGTCACAGTGGGAGTCCTCCCTGTGGCACAGGCCATGACCTTCTGAGTAGGGTCTTGGCAGCACCTCTTCCATCTCCATCCGCCTCCCACGAGCGCGCCCCGGCGCTGCAGACGGCGGAAAAGGAGCCCAGGCCTCAGCTCCTTGTCCGGAACAAGGATGCGCTGCCACTCACGGGCCCATGTTTGCTGCTGGTGTCAGGCCTGCCTCGCTGGGCACCCACGGAGGGCCTCCACCGCACGGTGTAAGGAGGAGTCGTGGCCGTCCTTCCGGCCTCACCCCCCCTTCCGGCTGGCCACTTACCCTTACACACGGGGCAGCAGCTGCCAGGGGCTGTGTGTCGCTCCCACAGGGGACAGCTGAGCTCAGGACAGGCCCGGTGCGTGCAGAGCCATGTCAGGTCCTGTTGTGGGGGTGTAAACAGGACGTGGGGAGGGGCAGGAGCTCGGGAGCAGCTGAGGGAACGAGGTGCAGCCTCAGCTCACAGACCGGGTGGATCTGAGCGCGCCCTCGGGCGGGGACTCACCTGACACCGGCAGGTGTAGCAGGGGTCCCCTGGCAGCAGCTCAGACCCCCGCAGGTCCTCCGTGCAGTTCCTCAGAGCCTCTGTGAAGGCAAGGGCCCAGAGTGAGGGGGAGGGGCCGGCGGCAGGAGCTGCAGACCCAGCCCTGCCTGCAGGGCTCTCGGTCCCAGGGGACCACATCCCCACAAAGAGTTTGGAGTTCACAGGAGTGACCTGTGAATTGGCGGGTCCTCCCCGCAGCAGTGGTAGCTGCCCGTCACCAAGCCAGTCTCGGCGCGAGTGCTGCTGGAGCGGCCCCTTTGGCCTCTTGGGAGAACTTTGCCAGGGCAAGGGGAGGGGCGGGCTGGACCCGGGGCTGGCCACGGGCAGCATGGCGCCCCCAGCATGCTCTCAGCACGGAGCACGGCCAGGCCGCCCTGCCCCTTCGCTTCATAGAGCCTGGCCAGAGGCAGCAGTGACGAGGCCTTCCGGGTCATGGCTCCACCAACAGACGGACAGATTACTTTCCTCTGAGTCTCCCGTTTTCACGTGTGGAGGGGAGTAATAGCACTCTACCTGACTGGGTCGCCGTGGAAACTAAACGAGACGCGCTTTATTAGACACAGCAAGCGGGGTGGCGCATACACGAGGTGCTTAATAGGGAGCCGCCCTCTCGCCCCAGCGAGGGCTGTGAGGACACAGCTTCCCGACGGAAGGCTGCGACGGTTTTAGGTGACGGACAGAATACCCCCGAGCGCTAGCTTAAACACAACCGAGGCGCCACGTGCGTGTCCCCACAGAGCTGCGCGCCTTCACACTAAGAGCCTGGAGAGCGAGCAGAGGGCCGGGCAGCCGCCCAGGGGACCCTGTCCAAGGAGCGTGCACGAGCGTGCAGGGCTGGGCTCCGGCGGTGACCCCGGCTCCCACGGCAAAGATGGTGGCTGCGTTGAGTGGACCCCAGCGTGAGATCCAGGACGCAACTGCGCTATTTTACGATATTTGTAGGAAAACCCTGACTCTTTACCCCCACGCGTCCTTCTAAATTATTTTATGTTGTTGTTTCCTGGCTTTGCCCGCAGCGCCCCCTGCCGGCCAGGCTGTTCCACAGCCCGCGCGGGCTGCCGCGGCCCGGAGGCTCCCCACGCGGCCCAGCGGCCTTCACCCCCGGAGGCGAGGGCTCCCAGGGCCGTCGCGCCAGGCGGGGCAGCGCTGCGGCAGCGGGGCCGGCACTCGCCTTGCCCCGGGGGTGCGGCCCTGCTTCCCCGCGTCCCCGGACTCACCCACGCAGGTGGGGCAGCAGTGCCCGGGGCCGGCCGGGACAAGCTGGCCTGGCGGGCAGCCCAGCAGACTGGGGCACTGCCGCCGGCGGCAGCGAAGGCTGGGGGTCCCCTCGGGCTGCAGCTGCAAGAAGGAAGGAGCAGAGGTTAGCCCAAGGCCTGGAGGCTGAGCCCCGGACCAGGACCGTCTGCGCACTCTTGTCTACGGTGCTGTGGGCAGGCCGGCTTGCTCTTAATCCGGACACCGAGTCCCTTACTCTTTCAAGTCTCTGGGGCCCGCACCGTCATGTGACCTTTAACTTGTCACTCTTCACACCATCCTCCTCGCCACTGCCTGTCTCCTGACCTATGGCACCATTACTTTTGGTTTTAATGATAGGGTCTCACCTAGCCCAGGCTGGCCTCGAACTCCTGCTCCGTCTGCCTCTACCTCCGCAGTGCTAGAACTGTAGGCATGTGCCACCACGCCCTGTGCATGTGGTGCTGACAGCTGAACCCGGGGCTTGTGCATGGGAGGCAGGCCCTCAGCCAACTGAGCTGACCAGCCCTCACCCTTCCCTTGAGAGCAGAGGGCAGTTTCCCTGGCGTTGCTCTCTACCCCTGACCCCCCCCCCCAAAGACCAGCCAGGGGCCATGCCCACTCCCCTCTCAGCCCTGGGCTGAGACGCCCCTCCCCTCGGCCCTGTGGTCCTGCCCCCTCCTACCTCGCAGAGGCACACTTCGCAGGGCTCTGCCCCCGGCTGGAAGCTCTCCCCAGGCTCGTACTTCCTGCCCTCGTGCTCACAGCCTTGAGGTGAGACAAGAACAGGGCAGGACAAGCAGTCTCCCGGCTGGCAGCCATGCCCGGTGGCCGGCTCCGCCACCCTGCAGCTCCTGCCACCAACACCCCGCTCAGCAGGAGAGCAGGGAGGTGTGGCTGCCAGGGAGAGCTCCCTCCCTCCCTCCCTCCCTCCCTCCCCGGGCTCCTAGTACGGGGCATCGAGGGCTGGACGCAGACGCTGACACACTGGATCTGGGCACAAGTGATGAGGCCCTTGTGACACTGCCTTCGGGGTGCTCCTCCCCACGCCGAGGCAGGTGTGAGCGCTGAGCCTGACAGCTGCAGCTCTGCCCCCCCAACCCCACCCGTGGTCAGCAAGAGGCGAGGGCACCAGCAGCCTCTGCAGGGGGCACGCTGTGGGTGTCTGTGGAGGTGTAGGGGGTGTGGCATGGATACGGTGTCTGTGTGAGTGTGTGTGTGTGTGTGTGTGTGTGTGTGTGTGTGTGTGTGTGTGTGTATGGAGCGCCTGGCTCAGAGTCTGCAACATTGTATGCACAGTGCTAATAAATGTTACTAATCATGATTAGGACTGGGAAGAGGGGGAGGACTAAGAGGGCACAGACGGCCACTAAGGGCACGCTGGCCTGGGAGGGAAAGGCTAGACTTCAGTTAGGGGCAGCCAAGGACTGGGGCGAAAGGGCTGAAGGAGGGCTGCAGGGCCAGGGCTACCTGTGCACCGAGGACAGCAGGTCCCTGGCTCGGTGGCCTGAAGCAAGCAGGGCAGAGGCGGGCACTGAAGCCTGGCGCAGCTCACGTGGCCAGCCTGCAGGCAGGAGGCGCAGATCAGCGGCTCGCCATGGAGACCTGGACCAGGGCCGGGGCCACCCCTGCCCTCACACACACCTGCCCCCACACCCCTGCCCCCCGCCCACACATACCTGCCCCCACACACCCCTGCCCCCACACCCCTGCCCACACATACCTGCCCCCACACACCCCTGCCCACACATACCCAGCAGCGGCAGCGCTGGCAGCTGCCCTCGGGTCCCTCAAACTCCTCCCCATCCGGGTGCTCCCGGCCTTGGAAGAGGCAGCCTGTGGGAGACACACTTCCTGTGGGAGGTCTGGGCCACCCTGCCCTACTTCAGACCTGGCAGAAGGAGAGGAAGCGGGCACCATGCCAGCACACAGGAGTGGCGAACTCTGCTCACCGCGACAGACAGGGCAGAGGCAGGGGCCTGGGGAGGGCCATGTGCAGAGAGCCGGAGGACACGGCTTCTTTCCACAGCGCATGGAGCCTTCCTGGGGAGAGAGGGCACCCGGCCGAGCTGATGGCGCCCCCTTCCCTGCCAGAGAGACCTGACCCCAGCTGTGTCCCGCCAGATGTCCCAAGCAAAACATGTCTGCAGCCTAGGCGCAGACAGCTCCTTCCAGAAAGGAAGACGACAGGCGAGAAGAAGCCAGGGCCCCAAAGATTCGCCTCACCTCACAAGTGCAGACAGAGCAGGCGGGGTCAAGAGGGTCAGGAAGGCTCTCTCCGAGGGCCAAAGCCACCCCGTGGTACAGGCACCCTGGCAGAGAGGGGAGCACAATGGGAAGGCCACTGTCATCAGAGCCGTCAGGTGCGTGAACACACACACACTCACACACACACACACACACACAGCCATGATGAGGACTCCCTTCATCACCCCGAAGGAGGGGAGTGGGGCGGGGGCAGGGGGCTGGGGGGAGTTTATCACCGAGGCTGCAGGGGTTTGCAGATTTGCATGTAGGAAGAGCCTGGTAGGCGGTGGGTATGAATCGGGGACCTGCTCGGGGAAGGGCAGGGCGGCACAGGCGTGCTGGGTTGTGGCAATGGGAGCCTCAGTGTTCAGGAGGTGACATGAGAAGGCGGCAAGACAATTTAAGAGTAAGGAAGCTTAGGACACAAAGGGCCAATGGGGAGGTGAAGGTGGGGGTAGACAAGAGGCCAGGGCACGCATATGGGAATTCTGGGGGAGAGAGAGAGAGAGAGTCTCCCTCAGGGCTGAGTTGCAGCAATCCTCCTGCCCACTGGTGCCTAGCTCCCCGGAGCCCCAGCAGGAGAGAGGCAGAGGCCCTCCTACCCTGGCAGGTCGGGCAGCAGTGCCCGGGCACAGTGACCGGGTGGCTGCATCCTGGAGGCTCACAGGGCCGGCGGGTGCAAGTCACGAAGCCTCCAAGGCAGGTGCACAGGCTGCAGGGTTCCCGGGGGTCGGGGAACTCCTGGCTGCTCAGGTAGGACACCCCCAGATACTCACAGCCTGTCAGAGAGGGAACCCAGAGAGGGCACAAAAGGAGGGAAGCAGTCATGCCCCGAGCTTGACCTGGCACCTCCGAGTCTTGGGGTGGCCCGGGTCCAGACTCCGGCAAAGGAGGGTTGGTGAGATGAGGTCTGGGGGGGCCCGAGGCAGGCTTTGCCCCTCACACCCCGCAAGAGTCCCTGGCGTCCACCCAGAGGGGACTCACAAGGCCTTGCCCAGAGGGCTAGATGCTGGGGAGGCCACTCACAGAAGGCGCCGAGCCCCGTGCCAGAGCCCCTCCCCAGCACCCTGCTGCCTCCAGGCTGATATGAGAGGCACAGGACCCAAGCTCAGCTCCCAGGAAGCAAGCAAAGAGCCAGACGGGGCCGCCTGCACACCCCCAGCCCCAGCGTGGCGGACACAGGGACCAGAAGGTCACGGGGCTTGCTGGCTCCCAGCCTGATTAGCTCCAGGTTCAGCAAGGACAGCGTCTCAGATAAAAAAAGGCAGAGAGTGGACAGTGCTTGGATTCTTGGATTCACCATACACGTGGCCCTCCCTCCCTCACACACACAAAATCACACACATATATGATAGAGAGGTAGAGAGACAGAGTTTTTGTTTGAAACAGGATCTCACATTGCTGAGCCTGGCCTTGAACTCCTGACCTCGCTGTCTAGAGCACCTCAGCTCTGGCATGACAGACGTGGCCGCCACTCCCCGGACTGTGCTTTAGCTGTGTTCATCTTAACGGCGATCCTCTATTCATGACAAGTCTAATTTTTCTTTTTCATTTAATCCATCTAGGTGGCCGGTGGTGGGATGGCTCAGTGGGCAGAGGCGCGCGCCAACACGCCTGACAGTCTGAGCTCACTCCCGGGAACACAGCTGTCCCCCACCTCCATCAACATGCGCCTGAACTGGCGTGTGCACCTCGGACCCTGACTTCGTAACTAAAGTCACGTTCAGTAGAAGATGCTAGAATCAATGTGCTGCCACTGGAGCCCTGACTGCAGCGTTTGGGAGGTGGAGGAGGCAGGGCGAAGGCCATCCTCTGCTGCGTGGCACCTTGGAGGCCAGCCTGGGCTACATGAGGCCTGTGTCAAAAAGTGAAAACTGCCAAGGTAACACAGGAGTGACAGTAGTGAAACTGGGCTCAGTGGGTAATCTGCTCAAGTTCACGCCCCCAGACTGTTCCAGTGATGGGAGAGAGTGCATCAGCACAGGGCTTTTCTCTCTCTCTCTCTTTATCGTTTTTGTTTTTGAGGCAGGGTTTCTCTGTGTAGCCCTGGCTGTCTTGGAACTCACACTGTAGATCAGGCTGGCCTCGAACTCAGAGCTCCACCTTACTCTCTTGCTTTGCTTTTGGGCAGTGGAGAGGAGGCTGGCCGGGCTTTGTCATCAGCACCCCCTGCCCCCGTGTGCCCCCGCGTGCCCCCCGTGCCCACTCACCATCACAGGCAGGGCAGCAGTCTTCCTTGGCGGGAAAGGGGCAATGCGCGGGGGCACACGCCTTGGGCTCGCAGCTAACGCTGCCCTCCCAGCAGAGGCACACGTGGCACGTGGCGCTGGGGGCCGGGAAGCGCTCCCCGCTGGCAAACTCCGTCCCCTGGTACAGGCAGCCTAGGGAGAGGGGCGGTGGCTGGCGCCAGGCCGTGCCACCCAGGCCACCCAGGCGGGAGAGACCGTGAGAGGGGAGCAGGGGGCTGCGGCTGAAGGAGGGCTAGGGGATGGCAAGAGAGGGGCGTCGCCACAAACGAGGTACCGTCGCAGGAGGGGCAGCAGCGGCCCGGCGCGGGTGCGCGCAGGGCGCGGGGGGGCACGGCAGTCGCTGGCAGGCCACGGCGCCGTCCAGGCAGAGGCAGCGGCTGCAGGGGTCGTCGGGGGCCGTGTCCCCCGGCCGCGGGCAGTCAGCAGGGGCATCTGCGGAGGGCGCGCGTCAGGCCACGCGGGGCAGGAGGAGGCGCAGGGAGGGCGGCTGGCGAGCGGTGCCAACCTGGGCACTGCGGGCAGCACTCTCCCGGAGGCAGGGCCGGCTCGGCACAGGGCAGCGGCGGGCAGCGGCGAGCCAGGCACTGGACGGTGCCGCCCTGCGGGGGACGGACAGATGGAGCCGCGGGGCTGGCACGAGGAGGCCCTCCCCCCCCACTCACCAGGCAGCGACACCAGCGGCACGGGTCGGTGGGGTGCGGGAAGTCCGCTCCGTTGGGGTACTCCTTCCCTCCAAAGGCGCAGCCTGGAGAGGGGGAGCTGTGGGCCGCTGGCCTGCACCCGGGCGCCCCCCCAGCCGGGCCACCTCACCTGTGCAGTCGGCCCTGCAGCAGGTGCTGGACAGGGGGTGCCCACAGCGGGCGCTGGGGCAGGCTCGAGGCTGGCAGCGAGCTTGGCCTTCCTGGCACCGGCACTCCTGGCACGGGTCTCTCGGGTGAGGGAAGCGCTCCCCATCCACAAACACCAGAGTCTCCACGACTCAGTCTGAGCGGACAGCGGAGACCAGAGCTCAGGCGACAGTCAGTGTCCAGGGGTCCAGGCTCCAGTTTGGAGCTGTCTCCCACCATGGGGGGAGGCAGGGCTCCCACAGGGAGGAAAGTTTGAGTCCCTTTGCTTGCAGATGGAGAGGGACACGCGACTCTGAGGTGCTGAGGAGAAAAGCTCACACAAGCGTGTGCCCAGGACAAGCGTGTGCCCAGAGCGCACAGGGACCCCTTTGCAGGAAGCTGTTACACGGTGAGCCCACCTGAGAGGAAACGTGAGGCGACAGCCTAGGGGGGGTCGCAGAGGGCAACAAATCTCCGCTTCCTCCCACCCCCGCCCCTGGGAGGGACCAAAATTGCTCCTGCAGGCCATTGCTCTGGAAGGCATTGTTGGTCCCACCTGGGCACCTGGGGCAGCACTGGCCTGGTCCCTTCTGGGGCGTGGCACAGGTTGTGGAAGGACAGTTGACCAGCGAACACCTCACAGTCCCGCCCTGTGAGCGGGGAGGAGGCTGTGAGAACGGGCCCAGGAGCGGGGCCCTGCGGGGCGGCCTGGGCTGGTACCTCGCAGCGGCAGGCGTGACAAGGGCTGTCCACATCTGTGAAGTTCTGCCCGTTGGCATACACCAGGCCTCGGTAGGCACAGCCCTGGCAGCTGGGACAGCAGGCACCTGGGTGGAGCAGGCTGGTCAGGGCGGGCTGGTCGCAGCCGGGGAGGACGGAGATGGAGCGGGTGCTTACCAGGCGGCTGGGTGGGGTGCTGGCAGGGCGCCGGCGGGCAGGGCACGGGCCCGCACTCAGGCACCCCATGGCGGCAGGAGCAGGCAGTACAGGGCTGTCCATCTGGCTCCCACTGGGCGCCCTCCTCGAACTCCTCACCATTGAGCACGCAGGCTACAGCAAGGAGGTCTGTCACACTCACACGGCACCCTAATACCTCCCTCCACCCCGGTCCTTCCCAGCCTGCGGGGTCCTGGCTCACAGCCCCTGAACCAGTGCTGAAATACTCAGTAGACCTCCTTGCCAGGGGGGCATTCGCCCCTGGACCCCCGGAAGCAGCTGCTCCCCGAGGGCACACATACACACCTGGGCAGAGCTGGGGGCCAGACGCAGGGCGGGCACAGGGGGCCACCGGGCAGGCCTGCTCCTCACAGGATACTTCTCCGGCCTAGGAAGAGGCCAAGTGAGAGGCCCGTGAGGACTGGCACAGACCTGGCAGAAGGCACACCCACTCACCTGGCAGAGGCACCGAAGGCAGCGGCCGCTCTCTTGGAGGGTGAAGCTCTCCTGGCTCCGATATTCGTGTCCCTGGTAGTTACAGCCTGGACAGGAGGACAGGGGACAGGGCGACAGGACTAGTGGCCGAGCAGGAAGCATATATCCCCATCTTGAGGAGGACGGCCTGGGGATGCCCTCTAGGAGGTCCTGCCTGCATCCCACCATGTGTGTGCCGTGGAGGTGAGGACTCGGTAGGCCTGGGTGCGAGGAGAGCAAAGCCCACCTCCCCTCTGTACAGAGCCTGTCCCAAGCCGGTGCCTGGTGAATGGTGACCTCACCCCGACTCACCATCACAGGCGGGGCAGCACTGCCCGGGAATCCTGCCCGGGGATCTGCAGGGTGCGGGTGGGCAGGGCAGAGGCTCACACTGGATGCTCCCGTTCTGCCAACAGGGCCCAGTCAGCAGGGACGGGCAGGCCGGACGCCAGCACCCCCACCCGCCAGGCAGCCATACTCACAGCGCAGTGGCAGCGGGAACAGGGGTCCTGGGACCCCACAGGCTCCCCGCTGCTGTGCTCCCGCCCATTTAGGAAGCAGCCTGGTGGGGGAAGGCGCTCAGATTCTCTGCAGGCCCCATGGATGACCCCTGCTGGTCCAGCCGTGAGCACTCTGCTCCTGACTCACCGTCACACACCGGGCAGCAGGTGCCAGGAAGGGGCCTGGCAGGATACGGACACAGGCTGGCACACTCCCGCTGGCGGCACTGGATGTGGCCCTCCTGGCAGGGGTAGGCACAGGAGAGACCCTCAGGGTCCAGCCAAGACAGATGAATGGTGCTAGACCCCGAGCCGTCCACTCTGGGATGAAATGCATCCCTCCAGAACTGGACATTGAAGCGCTGCCCCCGGCGCCTCAGAACGTGCTCTCTTGGAAACAGAGTTGGTGAAGATGCAGTTAGTCGGGTATCGCTGAGGTAGGTTGTCTCCCTAATTCAATATGACTTAGGGATGATTTTGTGCAGTATAAAGGTTGTCCTGGCATTGCTCAAACGCTGATTTCTGTCCCAGCAGAGAGCTGAGCACAGCTGAGCACAGACGTTGGTCTATCAGCCTCAGTGTTTAGCAAACATTGTTCTCCATCGCCTTCTGATTGGTTAATAAAGCTGAGGCAAGAGAGGATAGGCAGGCACTATCTTTCTGGAGAGACAGGGACTCTGGGAAAGAAGCAGAAGGTGTGAGGGAGTCGGGTATATGAACCTGAGGAGAGGTAAGGAGCCGTATGACAGAGTGGATTAACATGAAGGGTTAACATTGCTGGCAAGAGCTGGCCGGGAACACGCGTGCACTAAGGCCCGAAGCCGTTATAAATAAATGTAAGGCTACGTGACATTTTTCAGAGCTGGGGCGGCACAGAAAGCCCGTAGGATTTTAGTGCCCTACAAAGAGGGGAACTCAGACTCGGACACACTCATAAGGAGAACGTCACAAGATGAAATCAGATTTGGATGCCGGAGGGAGGGATGGCTCAGCAGAGGAAAAGGGCGGACGGACCCCAACCACCTGGAGCCGAAGCTCCAGAGATCTGCTGTTGACGAGCTCTCCGGGGACCGCACCCCACAAACCACACTCAGACACATGTATAGTCACCAAATTAAAGACAAGGGAGGCCAGCTGTAATGGGTGCATCTTTAGGCCCGGCGCTTGGGAGACAGAGGCAGGGAGGCAAGGCCAGTCTGGTCTATGAAGTGAAACTGTCTCAAAAAAATGCAGGAAGAATATTGTATACATAAACTAAATGATACTTTAAAAAAAGAAGGAATACAAAACATCTCACTAATATTCTGTGCTGGTTGCATGTAGAAATAACATTTTGTGTGTGATAGGTAAACAGATTACAATATTAATATTCTTCCTGCGTGTACACCTGAACTGATCTGAAGAGGGAATCAGATCTCATCATCTCATCATAGATGGTTATGAGCCACCATGTGGCTGCTGGGAATTGAACTCAGGCCCTCTGGTAGAAGCAAGCAGTGCTCTTAACCTCTGAGCCATTTCTCCAGCCCTTGTATTCCTTCTTACCCCACTGCCCCTCTCTTCATTTTTGGGGGGTTTTGTTTTGTGCTTGCTTGTTTGTTGTGAGGGAGGAGAGTTGTGACATGGCCTCACTATGTAGTTCATGCTGTCCTCACATTCATGGTCTTCCTGCTTCGGCATTCCAAGGGCTGGGATCACGGCCATGGGTAACCTTCCTGCCTGCCTTTGTTTCTTTTCATCCTTTCTCTTTTTTCTTTTTTATTTATTGTTTTATTAATTACAGTTTATTCACTTTGTATCTGAGCTTTAGCCCTTTCCCTAATCCCCTCCCCACCTCTCCCTCCCTCCCTCATCTCCTCCCATGCTCCTCCCCAAGTCCACTGATAGGGGAGGTCCTCCTCCCCTTACCTGACCCTAGCCTATCAGGTCTCATCAGGAGTGGCTGCATTGTCTTCCTCTGTAGCCTGGCAAGGCTGCTCCCCACTCAGGAGGAAGTGTTCCAAGAGCCAGCCACTGAGTTCATGTCAGAGACAGTCCCTGTTCCCATTACTAGGAAACCTGCTTAGACACTGAGCTGCCATGGGCTACATCTGTGCAGGGGTTCTAGGTTATCTCCATGCGTTGTCCTTGGTTGGAGTATCAGTCTCAGAAAAGACCCCTGTGCCCAGATTTTTTGGTTTTTGTTTTGTTTTGTTTTTGCTCTCCTTGTGGAGTTCCTGTCCCCTCCGGATCTTTCTGTCTCTCTCTTCTTTCATAAGATTTCCTACACTCTGCCCAAAGTTTGGCTATGAGTCTCAGCATCTGCTTTGATACCCTGCTGGGCAGAGTCTTTCAGAGGCCCTCTGTGGTGGCTCCTGTCCTGTTCCCTGTTTTCTTCCTCTTCTGATGTCTATCCTGTTTGCCTTTCTGAATGAAGACTGAGCATCGGGGGTCCTTCTTGCTTAGCTCCTTAGGTGTACAGATTTTAGTGTGATTATCCTATATGATATGTCTAATAGCCACTTACAAGTGAGTATACACCATGTGTGTCTTTCTGCCTCTGGGATAGCTCACTCAGGGTGATCTTTTCTAGCTCCCATTCCTTTCTCCTTTTTTGGACAGTCTTACTATGTAGCCCAGGCTAGCCTCAACTTCCTGAATTTCCTATCTCTGCCTCCTATACACTGAGATTAAAGGCCACCACACCTAGCCCAGAGTGGCCCTGGCCAGCCACATCTTAAGTGACCCTGCGTTACCTGGTTGGCTACTCCAAGTACGACTGTGTTCCTCTCTCTGGAGCTCTGGCCACTCAGTGTGCCCTGCCCTGTCTGCTCTCTACGAATCCATGAGCTTCTGGAGCTAAAGTGATCAGCCTGCTGAACAGAGCAGGCAAACAGGAAGCCCGGCAGGCTGCATGCTCGCAGGGCCCAACACGCAATCCACTGTAGCTCCGTCTCCTTTCAAGACTCTAGCAGGCCTGGTGGCAGGGAAGGGTGAGGCAGTCCGAGGGCAGCCCCAGGACTCACCAGGCACTGGCAGATTCGGCAGGGGTCTCCAGGAGCGGTCCACTCTTGGCCATGGTCCCTGTGAGAGTTACCTTCTGTGCAGCCTGAGGCTGGGGACAGAGAACAGGCTGAAGGGATTTATCTGGGGCCTCACCTTGCCTCCCTCCCCCTCCTCTCATGCTCCTACCTCCGTCTAGAGCGTAGACTCTCAGGCATGCTCAGTGTCCCGGGCAGGGTGAGGGCCTCACTACTCTTCAGCCTGGTCTTCTAGGCCCCGGCCTCTCTGCCCCCCCCCCCCCGCCTCTCCCTCTGTCTCTGCCCCCGCCACACAAGCTCGTAGTGTTGCTGTGACTGACTCAGGGTCGCCATCTACTGGTAATCCCTGTGCCTGGGCGCCCAAAGCAGATGCTAGCAGTCTATCCGGGGCACCTTAAGGAGAAACTAAGGCGCAGTGGCTTAGTGTCCGGTAACCACTAACAGACAATGGAAACCTAGAACTCGGGGACTGCAGCTCCGGAAGGCGCTTGGACTAGCACGGCTTGCCCACTGAGCAAACATCAGTCTTGACTGGATGGCTCCGGAGTGGGACAGCCTGCTGGGGTCTCTACAGAAAAGCCACAGGGACTGGGAAGATAAGAGCACTAATTTCTCCTCCAGAGCCCTGAGTTCAATGCTCAGCACCCTCCCAGGGCACCGCACACACACGGGGCACAGATGAGCCTGCGGGCAGCCCACACGTGTTAAAGACACGAATGACTGGGTGAAAGGGCTCACCGTGGCAGGCTGGGCAGCAGTGCCCAGGCCTCCGGACTGGCTCGGGGCAGGGGCTTGGCGGGCAGCTCACAGGCACACACCGGACCAGGCTCCTCTACAATAGACAGTGTTTGTAACTATGTGTGACATCCGGGTGTTCCAGGCGGGCAGGTGTCCAGCAGGGAGACTCTCAATGACGCAGGCGAACAGTGACTGACAGGACCCATCGCTCACCAGACAGGAGCACTGGAGGCATGGGTTGGAGCTGGACAGGAAGCTGGCCCCTTCCTCGTACAGCTGTCCTTCATACTCACAGCCTGAAAGGACGACACGGGCTCAGGGAGAGCAGGACGGGTGGGCATCGCCAGGGGAATGCATGGCCCCAGCCTCAGTGTGCCCACTGGGCTGAGGGGATACACGGGTAAGATCGTGGGGGGGGTCACCTGGCCGGCAGATGGGGCAGCATTCTCCAGGTGGGGTGAAGCTGTCCAGACAGTTGAGCTCAGGGCATGAAGGCCCCCGGCACTGCACAGTTCCCTCCTGCAGAGCAGACACCAAGCCTTCCCTTGAACTCTCTCCACAGCCCACACTGGAGTATTCTGGGCAAAGGTCTAGCAGGCTCCGGACCTGGATGCCCAGAGGCACGGCCAGGCCTGGGGTAATGAAGAGCAGCAAGGACATTAACAGGGCAGAGGCTAGACTATAATTCTCTTACCTGGCAGGTGGAGATGACACAGGTTTCTGGATGCCACATTTCAACAGCGCCCCCCCCCCCCAAGCCCCAAGCGCAGCCTTCAAAACCAGGTCCAGGTCCCTAAGTAAGATAGCCAGATGCCTAGGACTACATCAAAGAGCTGGGCAGCCTGTTTTATATTTCCCTTCATCTTTCTGACAGGCAGCAGACAAGGGTGTGACTCTGAGACCATGTGCTGCCTTTATTTACAACAGGAGAGAGGAAAGTGTCACACACACACACACAAGCACAGGCACACACACGACACAATCATATAGAATAGCAGTGGTCCTGAGGAAGCGTGTACCTGAAATCTGTGTGTGTGTCCGTCTTTGAATTATACAGTTTGGGCAATGAGGGAAAGTACTCTGAGATGTGGCACACTGAACTACAGCCCCAGTGTTCCTTTGAGATTCCCAGGACTTCAGTCTCTGTCTCTCTCCCAGGGCTGGCTGGAGTCCTTGTCCCTCCTAACTGACCTCCAACCGGGATGCCTCTCCTGGCAGGATACAAAGGGCAGGGCACCCGGTAGCAATGGAATTCAGACAAGTAACACTGTACAGTTTTAAAGGATGAGAACATCCCAGCCGGGCCTGCTGATACAGGTCTCTCTCTCATCCCAGGTACCTGGAGGCTGAGGCAGGAGGATCAAAAGTCCAAGATTCACCTGGGCTATAGCATGAGCCCAAGGCCAGACCGAGCAACTCAGTAAGACTATGACTCAAAAAGAGGCCTGCGAATACAGCTCAGTGGTGGGACGGCTGTCCAGCATTCCGAATGCTCTTGGTTCACGCGCCAGCCACACGCATGCGCACACACAGCAGACCACATGGTGGCTCATGCTACAAATCCCGGGACTCGGTGGACAGAGACAGAAAGACTGCTAGGAGCTGAGTCCAACTTGGGCTAGTCAGTAAGCTTCAGGCTAGAGCGTGAAACAAAGAAAAAGCCAAGAAACACATAAAAAGCCAAACGTGGTGGGGCACGCTTAGAATCCCAGCGTGTGGAAGCGGAGACAAGAGGAGGGGGGTTTCAAGGCCAGCCTCAGGGACATGAACAACAAAGCCCCAAGTGCTGTGTGGGGTGTACGTGATAGAGTAAAAATCACCTGCTGTCAGCAATGCAGACTTTTGCGCAAGCCTAACTAAAGAAGAAACATGAACTCAGGAGGCCAAGGAGGAAGGACGTCTGTGAGTTTGACATCATCCTGCCAACATAGCAAGTTCCAGGCCAGCCAGTGCTACAGAGTGAAACTCTGTCTCAAAACAAGCAGGCAAGCAAGCAGCCAGGCAAGCAGCCAGGCAAGCAGACAAATAAAAAGCTTCCACAAAACCACTGCCTTCCTTCTGCCCCGCTCTCCTCAGGGCACAGGAGGGAGCGCCCCAAGCCTGCCCTCTGTTACCCTGCCTGTTCTCCTGCCTGTGGCCCGTGACCGGCCTCTGTGCCTAGGCGGTGGCTGTGGCAGCCTTCCAGCTGGTCTGCATTCTTCTTTCTTGATTCCAGCAAGGAGCTTGGGGAACCCAGAAAGCGTGTGGAGACTGAGCCCCAGGAAGCAGGGTGTTGAAATCCTGAGGTCCTGGATGAGAGTCTGGGCGCCTAGACTCCATGAGACAACTGGCAGAGCACGTGAGTGCCCGGTGGCGAGAGCGGGCAGGCATGGGGTGCCAGGCCTCAAGCACTCACCAGACAGCGGCAGGTGGTGCAGGCATCTGGGGAGAAGGTCTCCCCGGGACCGTAAGACTGGCCATGGTGGCTGCAGCCTGCGGGGAGACAGTGACGTCACCGGGGACCCCGTGCCGCCTCCAGGCCCTGTAGCGCAGTGAGTGTGATGACGCTGACCTCGGCAGTGGGGCAGGTCGGGCCGGGGGCTGCAGTGTGAGGCCCCGTCACGGCACACGCAGGCCAGGCAAGCATCCGGCTCCCAGCGAGCTCCTTCGGGACAGGAGCGACCCGGCCCCTGGCACTCACAGGACTCCAGCTGCAGCACCCTGGCTCGCAAGTCCCTGTTCTGGGGAGAGGCAGAGGGGCAGGCTCGGCTCAGCTTCCTTCACCGACGGTTTCTCAGAGACAGAGAGACTGAGGCAGGATGAGAAGGGCTCCCGAGCAGAGGTGGGCGTCCTCACCTGTTTCAGGGAACCTAGAACTATTCCTTGAACACAGAAGCTCAGAACTTGCCCCCATAATTAAAGAGGAATTTGGAGCGGGGAGTGAAACCCCGGCTGGCAGTTGCTTGTTATAAAGACCATCCGGGTCTTACACTCAAGTCAACCCTCCTGCCTCAGTCTTCCAGGTGCTGCTACTACATGCGTTATCACCCTAAGCACAGGTGCTGTCTTCCGCTGAGGCAGCGTTCCTGTCTCTTTGCCAGACACGTGAAAGACTGCATAAGCCTGGGTCAGCAGCCCACGCCCCGGAGCCTCCACATTCCGGAAAGAAGAGGCATTAAGACCAGGTCAGGCAAGAAGCTCTCTAGGTGTTCTTACAACAAAATGCTAAGAGCTTAGTGGCACAGTCCTTGCCTATCATGTGTGAGGACCTGGGTTCAAGCTCAAGCTCTGCAAAAACAATAAACGAACACCCAAAACACCTGCCTGGGAGGCGGCGCAGTGGTTCTGAGACCGACTGCTCACACGGGGGGGGGGGGGGGGGCTGGGCTTGGCTCCCAGCACTCATGGGGGCTAATAACGATCTGTAACTCCAGTTCCAAGAGCCCCAATCCCTTCTTCTGGCCTCAACAAGTGCCAGGCACACACACAGGGTAAATGTGCACACACAAACACCCAGGAATGTAAAATAAAAATAAATCTTAAAAAAAATATGACAGCAAAGGCTGGTCGTGGTGGTGCGCTCCTTTAATCCCAGCTCTTGAGGGTCAGGGGAGGTGGATCTCTGTGAATTCAAGGCTAGCCTGGTCTACACAGTGAGTTCCTAGATGGCCAGAGCTATGTAGAGAGACCCTGTCTCAAACAAAACAAAGCAAACAACAAACCCCCTCTATTTTTGTGTCCCCCGAGCCTCCAAACGCCAAACCTCCCTCTCTCCCAGTATGCTAAGCCCATCCTTTCCCATCCCTGCCAACCTGCCCCCACTTGCCTGCTTTCTGAGGTCAGTCACCTCGGCCTCCAGCTGCTCCAGCCTCTCCTCCAGGGTCTCAGCAGGGACCAGGGAGTGGGACGATGCTCGCTGCCCATAGTCAAGAGTGCCAGCCAGCCTAGGGCGCGCTCCGGAGACCTCTCCGCCTGCGGGGCACAGAACCAGCTTGGCCTGCAGGAGGAGGCTGGTAAGGTGTCCGGGTTGTGTCCTCTGAGTCACACAGGGGACAAAGGCCATCCTGAGCCCCATCCTGCTCACCTGCCCCACCGTGGAGGAAGAGACACAGTCTGTGAGGGTGCTGCAGTGCAAGCAAGGAGGCAGGGAAGAGGGTAACAGCACAGGAATGGAAGGGCAGAACCCTGGGAGCACCACCGGGCAGCCTAGACCAACTTCCCAAGCAGAGCAGCCTCCTGACCAAGGCCGCAGCAGCTGGGTCTGACTGTGCAGATCTTTAACGGTGGAGGCGGGGTGAGTCGCACATGGTTTGGAGATCTGACATGGTAAACTAGGCTCAAGAGCCCAGCACAGGAGGCTGGATATGGGCAAGGAGGGCTCTTTAAACAGCTGGAGACCCCGTGTGTAGACACACACTACTCCTGTCAGCGAAAGCACCATTTTGGGAAGAGACGCTCCGCACCCCGTGGACAGGTGTGCAGCCCAGGCCAAGAGCCCTCAAATGGGCTGAAGCTGGCTCCGGAAGGCAGAACCATGCTGTGCTGTGCTGGCCAGGCCTCCAGCCTGCCCTGGTTCTAGAGCCCATAAGTTAGGAAGTGTGTGCCTGAGCTGGGGCAGGGTGGGGCACAGCTACTTTCCCCTCCCCTCCCCTCCCCCCTCGCCTCAGTCGGGAAGGTGAAGGCCAGGGCTGCTTCCCACAGACATCCAGGACTGGGGGGGGGGGGGGGGGCAGTGGAGGCTCCCCGGAGGAGGAGACCAAGACAGAAGCTGAACGAGATGGCGAGATGGCAACCTTTCTTTCCCACTCTGAAAGTGCTGCTCCTGGCCGTGCCACCTACTCCCTTCTTCGCTGCCACCGCAGGGAGGCGCCACCGCAGCCTAACCTCCACGGCTCAGTGAATGCAACCCCACTCACTCACTTCCCCAAGGCAGGAACCCGGGCTCGGGGCCACCCTCTGTGTCCCTCTTAGTTCACCCGTCCCTGGCTTCTCTTCGTTGTCCCATAGTCCACCCCCTCCTCCCCCTTCCCCCTGTCTTCACAGAGGCTGAAGAGCGAGCTCCCTCCTCCACTTTCTCCTCTCTCTCCCACAGCACAAGGCTCCCAGGAGCAAGTTAAGATTTCAGGTGGCAGCCGGGTGTGGTGGCGCAGGCCTTTAAGCTCAGCACTCAGGGAGGCAGAGGCAGGTGGTTGTCTGGGTTCGAGGCCAGCCTGGTCTACAAAGCGAGTCCAGGACGGGCAAGGCTACACAGAGAAACCCTGTCTCGAAACCGCAGCACTGCCCGGCTTTGCTCCCCACTGGAGGCCCTAGCCCCCTCCCTTCACACCAGCAGCCCACCCAGCCTGTCCCCAGAAACTGCCAGTGTCTTGACCTGGTCCCTCTCCAAGTTCCGAACAGAGAACACTCTGCGACGGGGTCTCGGCCACTGAAAGCCTCCACACAGGCATGAGCTGCTCTAGCCACCCTACCCCCAAAGCCCCAACCAGCAGGCACAACTGAGGGGGTCAAGGAGTCAGTTGGGGTGTCCTCTGGAGGCCCCAGCTGAAGACAGGGTCGGTCCCTCTCCCTGGAAGATCTGCACAAAGTCCCCCTGGAAGAGGCCCGGTTGCTCCCCAGAATCCGTCTCGGGGTTCTCCGCCCCGCAGAGAGCAAGGGCTCAGCTCCACAGACTGACAGGACAAAGTCCGGTCCCACCGCGAGCTTTCCCCCTCCCCCTCCCCTCCTCAACCCAAATACTGGACTTCAGAAGGCCGGATGCCAAGGCGGCCCCTGCTGCTCCGACTTCTTGGCCCAGCCCGGGAACCCCGACTGGCTGTGGGTCGCCCCCCACCCCCACCCCCGTTCGCCCACCGACGGGGAGGACAGAGCACCAAGGCCGCCGCCGGGCGCGCAGCCCGGGCGGGCGGGGCTGGGGAAGGGGCCCGGCCCGTGCGAGCGTCTGCTGGGCTGAGCAGAACGGGGCACCCTCAGGACGCCCCGACTCACCGCGCCCGGCCAGCGCCAGGATCCCGAGCGGCAGCAGCAGCGGGAGCAGCGGGAGCAGCGGGAGCAGCGGGAGCAGCGGCGCCCTGGCCCCCGCCATGCTCGGCCTCTCCGTGCGCGCCGGGGCGGGGTGCCGAGACTCAGGCCGCCGCCCACCCGGGCTTTGTTCAGGGAGGGCTGGGCGCTCTTCCGCCCCTCCGGCCCCCACCCCCCACCCAGGGCCTGAGGGTCCTGACCCACAGCGGCCTTCCTAGCCAGAAGCTGGGCGCGGGGCGGGTCACCAGGACCACCGTATCCGAGCCTTTCGGGGTGCTCATCCTCTGGGGGGGACCCAGGGACTCGGTGGAGTTTTAGGATCAGCAGGCTGAGCCGGGTTCAAAACCCTCTGCGAAGGGCTGGAGAGATGGTTCAGTGCTGAAGAGCGTGAGTTCGGGTCCCGCTCACTGCCATGGCTGCTCACCGCCTTCAGGGAATCCTGTGCCCACCTTGGACCTTCCCAGCAACCGGCACGAGTGTGGTACATAGAAAATGAATAAATCCCTATGCAATCAGTCCAAGTGCTCTCAAATAACCCACCAAGCTGGCGTGGTGGTCCTCGCCTTTTAATCCCAGCGCTCGGGAGGAAGAGACAGGCAGATCTCTGAGTTCGAGGCCAGCCTGGTCTACAGAGTGAGTTCCAGGACAGCCAGGGCTACACAGAGAAGCCCTGTCTGGAAAAATAAAAAGAGTACCCACTCTTCACTTCTTTCCTGGACCCCAGGCCCCACTTCTACCCCAGGCCCAGGCATGGCGTCAGTCGACTCGGCTTCCCCAGAGTCCCCAGTCGACTCTGTTTCTAGGGACTGACCTCAGCTGCAGTAGAGGGCAGGGTTGGCCCCTGAGCTTACCTCAGGGGAGGAGAAATAAGGAAAACTGTTCACAGAGCCAGGACTGGGGAACAACTGGGAAGCAGCTGGGAGGCAGGACCGGGGCCCAGGTTCACATGGACATTGAGGGTGGAGCCGAGAATCCAGCCAGAGAAGTCTCTGTCCCCGGCCTTGAAGACCCGGAATGTGAAGCCACCCTCCCCAGCTGGGACAGGGCAGGAGCTGAAGGCCTCCCTCAGCAGTCAAGGCTTGAGTAAAGGGAGGGTCTCTTCCCCAGATGTGCGGCCCCTCCCGGGGCTAAGCAGCCCGCAGCAGGGGAAGGGAGGCTGTGACTCAAACATGTATGAGTGACCTGGAGCTAGGGTCACACAGCAAAGGGGAAGCCAGAGCCAACGGCAGCCAACGGCAGCCAACGGAGCTTCATTTGTCCAACAGCTGCTCTTGTCCAACCCTGGAAGTAATAAGGAGAGAGAGGGAGAGGGGGAGAGAGAGAGAGAATCTTTAAGACAAGTCTCCAGTCTAGGCTAACCTCAAACTCCATAAGTAGCCAACGGTGACCTTGAACTTCTGAGTCTCCTGCGAGGAGGCTACAGCGAAGCACAACCAGGAAGATCACATTTAGTGTTGCAGATGCATCCCGGGGTTTCATGCAGGAAGCACTTTCAACTGAGCCCCGTCTCCAGCAGGAAAACTGTCTCTGTGTACCGGGTGCCTCTGGCAAGGCCGTGGGAGAATTACAGGACTAGGGTCACAGGCCTGTCAGACCTGTCAGGAACAGGAACGCAGGCCTCATATAGCAGTCTGGGCCTACTGCTTCACTCTGATCTCAGACAAGATCTGTCACTTTCAGTGACTGCTTGCTCTCTGTCTCCTCTGAAGGTGGATTTATTAGTGTGTATGTGTGTTTGGGAATGTGTGTGGACCTAAGAAGGCCATTGCAGGGACAGTTTTCTCGCTCCACTTCGGACCCAGTTTAGACCATCAGGCTTTCACTGTAAGCTGAGCCAACTCACCGGCCTGCGGTAACCAATTTCTCTTGTCTTTGACCCTAACTTCCAATCGCCCTCCTCGGAAACTGTTTGTGCACATTAAACATACTAATCCCAGACAGGCAGTGGTGGCACACGCCTTTAACCCCAGCGCTAGGGAGGCAGAAGCCGTCAGACATCTGTGAGGCCAGCCTGGTGGACAGAGTGAGTTCCAGGACAGCCAGGCTACACAGAGAAACCCTGTCTCAACACACCAAAAGAAGAAGAAACAAACAAACACAAACAAACAAACAAAGAAAACCAACCTAGAAGGACACAGAAACCAGACTGGTGATGTGTACCTTTGATCCCAGGATTTGGAGGCAGAGGTAGCGGAGCTCTCTGTTAGGGGGCAGCCTGATCCCTGCAGCAATTTCTAGGATAGCCAGGGCTACACTGTGAGACCCTGCTTTTAAATAAATAAATAGAACCTGTCAGTAAGGGTGTAGAGGTTGTCTTCGCCCAAGCCCTCTGAAGACAGAGATCAAGACCCACGAGCAAATTTATTTTGGAATGTGATTCTTGGGAGCAGAAGTCATGACCCGAGGAGTATGAGAGACTGTGAGGCAGATGCTTTGCAGGAGACCGGCCACTGAGCGAGCACAGGACGTACCTGTCCCTGTGGGGCAGCTGGGTGGAGAGCGGAAGCCCTCATCCACTGGTTGGTACAAACGCCTCATCTGTCTAGGGCAGCTTTTGGGGTGGTGCTGAGCACCACAGCACCTTTGGTTTTGAATAAGTACGTTTATTAAGAGAATAAATACATGATATACTGAGAAGGAGCAAAACGTCAGATCAGGTAATCAAAACTCCAGCAGAAATGTCCTGAGGGGCTGTGGAGGCATCCAGCCAGAGCTCCTGACAGCCCAGAGCAGGCAGAGTGTTCCCACGCCTGGAGGGAGGCATGACCAGCAGAGACACCATCCAGCCAGAGGCTTACAAGCATCCGGCAGAAATGGCTGGGAGGCTGAGGCAGCCATCGGGAGTTCCTAGGGCTCAGTGGGTGAGCGTCATCCTGCCCTCAGCGTCTCTTCCCCGCAGCTTTTACACGGCACAAACAACGGAGAGCAGTCTCTGGTGGACACGCCTTGCCCCTCGCTGCCCTCAGGGGCACAGGGCTTAAACAGCCTGTTTCGCTGTTCTCTTTCCTCCCATGGAGGAGCTCTGGGTGGGGCAGCCCATAGCTTGAAAACCACCACTGAGCCGTGTCTCCAAACCCCCATTTGTTTATGTGTCTGAGTCTGTGCCAACATGAGTGTATTTATACCGTTTCTGTGTGCCTGCAGAGGGCGGAAGAGGGCATTAGATTTCCTGGAACTGGAGTTTCAGCCAGCCCTGAGCTATGGGTGCTGGGATCTGAGCCCAGGCCCTCTGCAAGAGCAGCGAGTGCCCCTAACTGCTGAGCCATCCCTCCAGGCTGAGGCCCTGGCTTCTTTCTTACCTAGTTAGCTCTGCCGTCTCGCTCCAGCTGTGAAACAATGACTTACCTTTAATTCTAACATTAAAATTGTGTTACAGCCAGACGTACTAGCCCACGCCTTCCGCCCCAGCACCTGTGTGACAGAGCTAGGCAGATCTGTGCAAACGCAAGACCAGTCTTGTCTACGTAACAAGTTCCAGGACACCAAGGGCTACTTACAGTGTCAAAATGGCCCTGTTGCAAAACCAACAAAAATCACTACATCGACGTATATACTTCTTGTTGTGTGTGTGTGTTCATACATGCGGAGGTCAGAGGTCAACTTGTGGGAGTCTCGTCTCTCCATCCACTGTGGCACCCGAGGACTGAGCTCACTCAGCTTTGGCAGCAAGCACCTTCAGCCACTGAGCCATCTCACTGTTCCTAACTCTAACATTTTTACACAGTTAATTTACACGTTTGTTTTGTTTGTTTATTTGGTTTTGCTTTTCAAGACAGGGTTTCTCAGTGTAGCCTTGGCTGTCCTGAACTCCCTTTGTAGAGCAGGCTGGCCTCGAACTCACATCAATCTGCCTGCCTGTGCCTCCCCAAGTGCTGGGATTTCAGGCGTGTGCCACCGTGCCGGGCTTATAATTAATTTTGAGATTTATTTATTTTTATTCTGTGTATGGGTGTTTTAACTGCATGTGTGTCTGTCCATCACGTGTGGTCAGAAGAGGGTGTTGGATGCCCTGGAAAGGGAGTCCCAGGTAATTGTTAGCTGTGGTATGGGTGCTGGGAACTGAAGAGCAGCTGGCCCTAACTGATGCGCCATCTAGCCAACCTCTGCTATTTTAAGGTTACCGCCCGTATGCATTATTAATTGACCAAGCTTTTTTTTTTCTTTTTCCTGATGCAGTTCTCAGGCAAATGTCTTCGTTGCTTGGACTTTGCACTCTCCCCTTTATCTTGTCTCTGCCTGTGGGCTCACAGTGTCTGATATACAGAGGAAGCTTTACATTCCAGGAAAAGCCTGTGGAGTATCAGTGAGCTTGAACAAGATGGACAAAGCAGAGACGTGCACAGAGATCCTGCATCTGTACTTGTTAACACCGTCGCTGCACAAGACACGATTCCCTTGTAATGCCGGTGCTCACGCGCAGAGGGCTCCGTGTCCTGGGCCCACCGCTCCCTTCAGCGTCGGTCTTACCATCGTCCTGTGAGTCCTCTTTGAATTCTTATAAGAATCGCTCCTTCGCAGGGCACGGTTGGGCACGCCTGTAATCCCAGCACTCGGGAGGCGGAGGCAGGTGGATCTCTGTGAGTTCGAGGCCAGCCTAGTCTACAAAGTGAGTCCAGGACAGCCAAGGCTACACAGAGAAAAACTGTCTCGAAAAATAAAATAAAAAGAGTCATTCCTTCAAAATAGAAATGGCGTCTCACAGAGCCTACCCACTTATGTGCTGTAGGGTCTAGGACAGCCATGTGTTCACCGTGAATGAACAAGTTTATAAGTGTATGGACAGATAGACCCGTTGATGGATAGGAGAAAAGCCAGCAGGAACCTCTTTTGAGGCAGTCAGCTGGCGTTCCCCATAAAAAGCGTCTTGGGCGGAGCAGTGTGCCCTCTGGTGAGACTTCCAAGTGGGAGAACAAGCGACAGCAGAAAGGATGCAAGCTCAACCTGCCATCCAGCAGAATGGGGCATCTGAGGCAGCCAGGGGCGGTCCGTCACAGAGCTTTCTCTTCACGGCAAGCTTCCCGCCGCCGCCGAGCCTCCTGCCTCCCTCTCCGGGCGGCTTCAGGTCC